GTGTATCGGAGTCGTTCAGTGTTTTGTACAGTGTATGGAAGGATTATGGAATAAAAAGTACAAATATAAAAACACACACACACACACACACACATTTTCTTGGATTGTCGGAAAGCCTTTGACACAGTACCGCATAAGAGGCTGGTACATAAGCTGGAGAGACAGGCAGGTGTAGCTGGTAAGGTGCTCCAGTGGATAAGGGAGTATCTAAGCAATAGGAAGCAGAGAGTTACGGTGAGGGGTGAGACCTCCGATTGGCGTGAAGTCACCAGTGGAGTCCCACAGGGCTCTGTACTCGGTCCTATCTTGTTTCTGATATATGTAAATGATCTCCCGGAGGGTATCGATTCATTTCTCTCAATGTTTGCGGACGATGCTAAAATTATGAGAAGGATTAAAACAGAAGAGGACTGTTTGAGGCTTCAAGAAGACCTAGACAAGCTGAAGGAATGGTCGAACAAATGGTTGTTAGAGTTTAACCCAACCAAATGTAATGTAATGAAGATAGGTGTAGGGAGCAGGAGGCCAGATACAAGGTATCATCTGGGAGAGGAAATTCTTCAGGAGTCAGAGAAGGAAAAAGACTTGGGGGTTGATATCACGCCAGACCTGTCTCCTGCAGCACATATCAAGCGGATAACATCAGCGGCATATGCCAGGCTGGCCAACATACGAACGGCATTCAGAAACTTGTGTAAAGAATCATTCAGAACTTTGTATACCACATATGTCAGGCCAATCCTGGAGTATGCAGCCCCAGCATGGAGTCCATATCTAGTCAAGGATAAGACTAAACTGGAAAAGGTTCAAAGGTTTGCCACCAGACTAGTACCCGAGCTGAGAGGTATGAGCTACGAGGAGAGACTACGGGAATTAAACCTCACTTCGCTGGAAGACAGAAGAGTTAGGGGGGACATGATCACCACATTCAAGATTCTGAAGGGGGATTGATAGGGTAGATAAAGACAGTCTATTTAACACAAGGGGAACACACACAAGGGGACACAGGTGGAAACTGAGTGCGCAAATGAGCCACAGAGATATTAGAAAGAACTTTTTTAGTGTCAGAGTGGTTGACAAATGGAATGCATTAGGAAGTGATGTGGTGGAGGCTGACTCCATACACAGTTTCAAGTGTAGATATGACAGAGCCCGATAGGCTCATGAATCTGTACACCTGTTGATTGACGGTTGAGAGGCGGGACCAAAGAGCCAGAGCTCAACCCCCGCAAACACAACTAGGTGAGTACAACTAGGTGAGTACACACACACACACACACACACACACACACACACACACGCAACGAGTGCGAACGCACCGTTCAACCCCCCTCACCGCTCCACCATACCTCATCCTCATATCCCAGTGAGGGAATGAAAAGGAGGCGGCCATTACCGTCCTCCCCAACAATCCATCATTAATTATCTTAAGCTGGCTAGGTATTCCTCCTCCGTGACGGGAGCGAGCAGGTATTAATGAGTGACCTGACCCGCGCCCTATTCATTAGCACGCAACTGCCGGAGTTGCCGTCATGGGCCGTCCTAACTACCATCGTCCCCCTCCAGCGTCCCCTCCTCCCCCTACCTATTTAACATGACCCCCAATTTGTCTCATGATCCCAGAATACCTCGCTGTTTCCTTCCTAATTAAATTGGTTATCACCTCGGAGGTGTGAGGCATTAATATGATAGCGTTTAGTGGCATGATCCGGTTGCTGGGTTCATCCTTGCCCCCTAGCCGGCAACTCGGGCCGGCTAGGGGGCCAGCTGGTGACCGGCCCGGGCCCCAGTCAGTCAGTCAGTCGCTGGTGCTGGGAGGAGCTGGGAGAGGTGAGTGTGTGTGTGTGCGTCTCCTCCAGCTGGCGGCCTCCACGTTGGGACCCGGAGGCACCGAGCTTGTGCTTTATTTATTGTAGCTTTCGTAGTGGGGGTGGAGGCGGCCCGCGGGTGCCTCGCCGGCTGCTCTCTACACGGCATGTTTGCTGTCACCCAACTGGATGTTTAGATATATTTTGTTTCTAAACTAGAGCTTGGTACTTCTTCACTTGGGCTCCACACAGGTGGTACTTCTTCACTTGGGCTCCACACAGGTGGTACTTCTTCACTTGGGCTCCACACAGGTGGTACTTCTTCACTTGGGCTCCACACAGGTGGTACTTCTTCACTTGGGCTCCACACAGGTGGTACTTCTTCACTTGGGCTCCACACAGGTGGTACTTCTTCACTTGGGCTCCACACAGGTGGTACTTCTTCACTTGGGCTCCACACAGGTGGTACTTCTTCACTTGGGCTCCACACAGGTGGTACTTCTTCACTTGTGCTCCACACAGGTGGTACTTCTTCACTTGTGCTCCACACAGGTGGTACTTCTTCACTTGTGCTCCACACAGGTGGTACTTCTTCACTTGGGCTCCACACAGGTGGTACGTCCTCACTGGGGCTCCACACAGGTGGTACTTCCTCACTTGGGCTCCACACAGGTGGTACTTCCTCACTTGGGCTCCACACAGGTGGTACTTCCTCCTCTTAAACCACGCTGACGACTAATTTCTGTCTCAATCCGTGAACTAACAGTGACCAGCTTTGTCATCTATTGTGATCTAATCTGTGAAATGAACCCATGGACTATGGGAGAGGCAGAGGCAGCACCACCATAACCCAGGAACCTATGGACTATGGGAGAGGCAGAGGCAGCACCACCATAACCCAGGAACCCATGGACTATGGGAGAGGCAGAGGCAGCACCACCATAACCCAGGAACCCATGGACTATATATATCCACCATGTATTACTGACCAAAAGTCGATCCGAAACATTGTGGAACACCGTCGCTGGAACCTCTTTGTGTTCGGATTGAACTCCTGCGTGGACCTGCTTCTGGGAGACAGCAGTTACCATCATTGACGAGGAGAATACCCTAGACACCTTGTTTGGTATTACATAAAATACAGTACTCTGTCACATATGAAATGCAGTGCATGCCAGCTAATCTACTCACCAGCTTATCTTCTCACCAGCTTATCTTCTCACCAGCTTATCTTCTTAACAGCTTATCTAGTCGCCAGCTTATCTACTCACCAGCTAATTTACTCACTGGCTGATCTACTCACCACCTTATCTACTCACCACCTTATCTACTCACCAGCTGATCTACTCACCATACACAATTATTCTACTACATATAAAGTAGGACAGACGTAAATCTGTGTATTTATATTTGTAAGTTAGATTAACATTTTAAAAGCCCTACAATCACCTTCTGTGGTTGATTGTTAATAAATCACTGAACGATATGTTAAACGGATCTCTCACCCTGTCCATGGAGCACAGAAGAAAATGTATATGTGTTGGTTAGCATTGTAAATGTGTGGCCACGTCTGTGGTAGAAAATAATAATAATAATAATAATAATAATAATAATAATCAACAAAAAGTACATATAAAGTTTCACAAGAACTTTAAATATTTTCTGGAAGCTAAAATAAATATAAGTCATAAATAAAGCGAAGAATTTCGTGAGACTGAATGAAGAGAGGGTAATTGATCGTTCAGTCAGTAAGACGCGAAATACAAGAAAGCTGTAACGCAATTAACGCGAAGATATAATTGAATATCGCAAACAAGCGGATGGAGTCAAAGGTCTCTTAATTGTCCCTCACAGGAGTTAACTATCTTGGAGGCTTCCTCCCCAGTGCAGACGATGAGTCACAATAACGGAGCTGAAGACATAATGACCAAACCACACACACCAGAAGACGAGGAGACGACGACCACGTTTCGGTCCGTCCTGGACCATAAGTCTACGTGATAATGGTCCATTACGGACCGAAACGTCGTCGTCTCCTCACCTTCTAGTGTGTGTGTGGATTGGTCACCGTTCCTCTCTAAGCTTCAAGGAGACGTAACCACTCTGACAATAACAAGACGCGTGAAGACCTCACCTCAGGAAACTATTGTCGGAGTTTCAACGCCTTAACCATTTGGGTCATCGAGCGATAGGTACACAACTATTAGGTATGGACAAACATACATATTCAAGGAACCTGTATGACTTACAAACATGACTGTAAACGACATTAAAAATAAACACACCTCAAAGGCATTATTTGGTAAAAAATAACATTATATGACTCATTTCGATGAAAATCCATTGTATGACAAACATAACTGGCTATTTAAAGAACAGTGTATTGATTGTGACCATTGCGAGATCAAACAACTTGGTTGGCCTTGACAAAGATTAACCAGGCCATTCAGCCATTAACCATTCAAGACGTCTACCTCCTAGAGTTAAGAGAAAATATAATGTCGGTGTTGCACAGCGTAACGAGGCATTAAGCATAATTAAATATTAACGTAATTTAAAAACATTGGTCCCCCCAAAATAAACAAGGATCACTAGCCATAAAATAATTTTTTTTTTGTCAAGAGATGAAGCCGCTGAGTACTGATATCCTTTTTCATCTCACAAGACACATTGTTCTTCCTTTGAAGATGATTCGTCATCTAAAAACATAAGTATATTCGGCATTAAGTCAAGAAAAATAATCTTAATCGGCATTAACTTAATAAAAATAGTATTTTTTCGGCATTAAGTCAATAAAATTAGTTACCTGGACCGACCACAACTCATTATATACGGCTCCACAACCCATAATGGAAGCTTAAGGTCTTAAAATATAAATTTATTGACGTGATGAACTTATCGTGCCGAGGAAGCCAGAATAAAAGGGGGTCAGCGGGGCAGGTTATTTTTTGTTATATAATTTCTCTAAAAAGTGAATTATTTTTATTGATAAGTTTACCCAAGTTTACCTCGGCCGATTTTGAGAGTTCTCTTACTTTCTGTAAACGTATAAAGTTTCCTTTTGAAGACTTCTACCTTTGTGGCAGCAATATTTTCTGTATGTACTGAAAGAAGGTCAAAGTTTTCACTGTGCATAACCTGACCTACACCTCTACGGTGCATAACCTGACCTACACCTCTACGGTGTATAATATGACCTACACCTCTACAGTGTATAACCTGACCTACACCTCTACAGTGTATAACCTGACCTTCACCTCTACGGTGCATAACCTGACCTTCACCTCTACGGTGCATAACCTGACCTTCACCTCTACGGTGCATAACCTGACCTTCACCTCTACGGTGCATAACCTGACCTACACCTCTACGGTGTATAATATGAGCTACACCTCTACGGTGCATAACTTGACCTTCACCTCTACGGTGCATAACCTGACCTTCACCTCTACGGTGCATAACCTGACCTTCACCTCTACGGTGCATAACCTGACCTACACCTCTACGGTGTATAATATGACCTACACCTCTACAGTGTATAACCTGACCTACACCTCTACAGTGTATAACCTGACCTACACCTCTACAGTGTATAATATGACCTACACCTCTACAGTGTATAACCTGACCTTCACCTCTACGGTGCATAACCTGACCTACACCTCTACGGTGTATAATATGAGCTACACCTCTACGGTGCATAACTTGACCTTCACCTCTACGGTGCATAACCTGACCTACACCTCTACGGTGCATAACCTGACCTTCACCTCTACGGTGCATAACCTGACCTTCACCTCTACGGTGCATAACCTGACCTACACCTCTACGGTGTATAATATGAGCTACACCTCTACGGTGCATAACTTGACCTTCACCTCTACGGTGCATAACCTGACCTTCACCTCTACGGTGCATAACCTGACCTACACCTCTACGGTGTATAATATGACCTACACCTCTACAGTGTATAACCTGACCTACACCTCTACAGTGTATAACCTGACCTACACCTCTACGGTGTATAACATGACCTACACCTCTACAGTGCATAACCTGACCTACACCTCTACAGTGCATAACCTGACCTACACCTCTACAGTGCATAACCTGACCTACAACTCTACAGTGCATAACCTGACCTACACCTCTACAGTGCATAACCTGACCTACACCTCTACAGTGCATAACCTGACCTACACCTCTACAGTGCATAACCTGACCTACACCTCTACAGTGCATAACCTGACCTACACCTCTACGGTGCATAACCTGACCTACACCTCTACGGTGCATAACCTGACCTACACCTCTACGGTGCATAACCTGACCTACACCTCTACGGTGCATAACCTGACCTACACCTCTACGGTGCATAACCTGACCTACACCTCTACGGTGCATAACCTGACCTACACCTCTACGGTGCATAACCTGACCTACACCTCTACGGTGCATAACCTGACCTTCACCTCTACGGTGTATAATATGACCTTCAAAGCTGAGTCACAAGATCTTAAACACAAATCAGCGTTCTTGACTTTGATCTATTGACTAGAGTTATTGATCTAAAGCAAATGACTCTGAATTTCCTGCCCTGGACAGCAGATTCGAACCATAATAGACCTTGAAGTAATGACCCTTGAGTGAAGACTTTACAGAACAACCAATCACACAACCTGTTCAAAACGTTAAAGTTGAAGAGCATTAAAGTAAGGTCAATACTGTCTTTTGTTTATATATTGTCTGGACTCTGGGAGAGGTGCACAGTTGGTTACTTTATTGATAGTCCCGGAACTGAGTTATGAACTACGAGGAAAGGTTAAGATAGCTAAACCTCACGTCCCTGGAAGACAGAAGCGTAATGGGAGACATGATTACTACCTACAAAATTCTCAGAGGAATTGACAGAGTCGTCAAAGACAAACAATTTAACACGGGTAGAACACCAACAAGGGGACACAGGTGGAAACTTAGTACCCAAATGAGCCACAGACATTAAAAAAAAAAATCTTCAGTGTCAGAGTAGTTAACAGATGGAATGCATTAGGCAGTGATGTGGTGGAGGCTGACTCCATACACAGTTTCAAATGTAGATATGATAGAGCCCAGTAGGCTTAGGAATCTGTACACCTGTTGATTGACAGTTGAGAGGCGGGACCAAAGAGCCAGAGCTCAACCCCCGCAAGCACAACTAGGTGAATACAACTAGATGAATACACACACACACACACACACACACACACGGAACAGGAGTCAGGAGACCGAAAGGTCAATACACGATGAACGAAAACTGCCTTCCTATAACGTCTAAAGAAGACCTGTGAGTGGACATAACACCAAACCTAACTCTAGAGGCTCATATAAATAGAAGAACGTCAGCAGCATACTCTACGCTGACAAAAGTCAGACCATCCTTCAGAAACCTGAAAAGGGAGGCTTTTAGATCACTGTATACCGCCTGTGTGAGGCCAGTCTTAGAGTATGCCGCCCCATCCTGGACCCCACATAAAAGAAAACACATCAGGAAGCTCGGAAAGGTACAGGTTTGCAACGAGACTCGTCCCAGAGCTGCAAGGGAGGAGGTACGAAGACAAGCCTAAGGACCTAAGCCTGACGACGCTGAAAATGGAGAGAGAGAGAGGGGGGGGAGGACATGATTCAGACGTATAAAATACTTAGAGGTATTGACAGGGTGGAAATAGAAGAAGTGTTTACAATGAATACTGTGTGCTATATGGGACCCTTTCTCACGGTGGGCTACATGGGACTCCCGTCTGTTACTGGGACCTCGGTTATTAAAACCAGAGGAGCCAAAGAAAACATGATCTTGACGTAGTCGATACCTATACACGTAAAGTGGAGAAAACTCAATGTATGGTAGATGGTGCGAGAGCTTCTTTCAATGTCAGGAGAGTCAGAGGAAGGAAGGAATGAAGCCTCGTCTGGAGAGTGGTTTAGTTGTTTGTGATGTAAATGCGTTCCTTTTATGCGCGACGAAGAACAGTAGTGAATGGTGTGAGCCACAGCTCTGTGTCACCCACGGTACACTGCGGGATATGGTGAGGACCTGCTCTACCACACACAGCTGTGAAGGGGCTTACAAGTCAATCTACGCACATAGCAAGGTTAGACCTGCTGGGATAGACCAGCTGGGAAGGAAGGAAGGAAGGCGGCGGGCTGGCCACTGTGTATACAAGCCCCGGGCGGCGACCTCTGGCGTCAATATCATTCACATATTAGCTTCTCTGTTGACGCGGTAAGACTCCGTGGCCTGGGGCACCCGCACCCTTCCCTTCAGCTCACAGCTGGACGGGAAATTTGTATAAATGATTACGGAAATTGAGGCTGGAGTGTTAAACGCCGCCATGATGACCGTCACCACGTTATCAACCTCCAATCACGGTAAAATACGCCACAATAAACATGTCGGACTGTGACTCACCCCCCCCCCCTCCGCCCGCCCGTTCGCTAATGCGTGATGAACTGCGGGGGGGGGGGGGCCGAGGAGGACGCAGGGAGGAAGGGGGGAAGAGGTGTCAGGATGAGCTACTCTAGTCCTAGTGATGAATGGTGCAGGGGAGAGGAGCATTATTTTGGGGTGCTGGTGCACCGTCGGGTGTGGGGTTGGGGAGGAGGGTGGCATAGTCTGGTGTGATGAACAGCTGGTGAGATCACTCACCCGACGCGTGACGCTGGAGGAACGCTTCACTGTGTTCAGCGGCGTGCTGGCATTTCATGACGACTGTTTCAAAACGCTTTTGTTCCATTCCTTGTGATCATCTCCGAGGTGGAGGTTGGCGTCTCAGGGGAGGTGGAGGTTGGCGTCTCAGGGGAGGTGGAGGTTGGCGTCTCAGGGGAGGTGGAGGTTGGCGTGACCGCCGCAGTACTGGGGAGAGCAGCCAGTGTTCGTGTGGTGCGTGAGCTCCGCTCAGTCGTGCTTATATAATCTTCTTCCTAAATGTAATTGAAATCTCACCTCTGCAAATTCTGTCACATCCGCCATATTGGATGGGTTGAACGCTCGATTTTAACGTTGTTGTTGAGGGTGGGAGCCTATATCTGGCTGAGGGTGGTGTTACGACCCTGGGTTCCTCAGTTGGAAACCAGAGGTCAAATTGAGCTATATATATCTGGTTGAGGGTGGGAGTTTATATCTGGTTGAGGGTGGGAGCCTATATCTGGTTGAGGGTGGGAGCCTATATCTGGTTGAGGGTGGGAGCCTATATCTGGTTGAGGGTGGGAGCCTATATCTGGTTGAGGGTGGGAGCCTATATCTGGTTGAGGGTGGGAGCCTATATCTGGTTGAGGGTGGGAGCCTATATCTGGTTGAGGGTGGGAGCCTATATCTGGTTGAGGGTGGGAGCCTATATCTGGTTGAGGGTGGGAGTCTATATCTGGTTGAGGGTGGGTGCCTATATTTGGTTGAAGGTGGGAGCCTATATCTGGTTGAGGGTGGGGGTCTGTATCTGGTTGAGCATGATAGCTTAGACCAGTTTCAGACTCTGTGATATGATAGCACATACCTGAGTCCTCACTCAGAGGGAGAGACCGTCAACAAGGAAGTCACCTGACGCACATTCAGATAACGCATCCATTGACTTCTCTCCCACAGACGTGAATACCAAAGGCCGCCATCTATGGCGACCTCTTCCCGCCCCGTCATCCAAAACATTGAAATGCTCTCTCCAGTGGACCTCTGGTGTTCATACAGTGTTACCTTATGATTCCTGTTTTATCTATTTTATGGAGTCTATTGTGCATTTCCTGCCACATCCATCGCTATAGAAAGTCCTAATTTTATTGAACATACTTTGGATCTGACTATATAATATCTTCCGTGAATATAAAGAAATCATTCTTCTGAATATTATATTGGTCATCATTCCATCAATATATTATATAAGGCCTGTTAGGTCTGCCTCGACCCCATCAAAGCATTTAGTGCCAAAATGAGTGCCAAATACAAATATGACAGTGCCACACAATAAATGAGTGCTACACAACAATATGACAGTGCTGCACAACAATATGACAGTGCTACACAACAATAATAAGTGCTAAACAACAATATGATAGCGCCACGCAACAAAATGACAACACTACACTATAACAGTGCCACACAACAATGTGAGGGGTGAGACTGGGGGCGCGACAAACCTTGCCATCGTCAATAAGCTGGTGGCCTGGTAACACTGTCATGCCCAGGACTGACAGACGCCCCGGCCTGGCTCACCCACGTCTTTAATTATGCCCTTACGTGATTCATTGCCTGGTCACCGGCAGGCGCTGCGTGTGCGCTGTTCTTTTCACGTGATAAACGACCCACCGGGATTACCGTGGGTGGTGGCGTGCCGCCCCGCCGTCGGTGTGCAGTCCTCGGTGAGCCGCGGCCGGCCGCGCTCTTGGGGTCAGCCCCACAACTGCCCAAGCAAATCCCTACATAAAAATATATATATATATTTATTCTTGGGATTAAAGTCAGCAATCACATGATTCCGCTTGAGTTTAAGTAACTAAATTTCCTCGAAATTCTTATGTTAAAACTATGAAAGCTGATTTTTTTTTATCCTTGGAATTGCGCATTGTCTCGGAGTAATAAAAAGTTACACTGATACCGTGAATTATGTCCACATGTGGACGAGTCACGTGTTGACTACACACGACGAAGTCCCCAGGCGGGCCACAGCGACTACATACCTTATGTGACATCGAAACAGGTTTACTAACTTTATTTACATCGTTGACAACTGTCGGAAAATCCGACACCATTTAATATATCATACAGACGGATAATAACTGTATTACCAACAAGTTACCCATAGAAAACGTAACTTGTAGTGGAATTACCATCTAAAGAAAACGGGATATCATCACCACATACTATTATAATTCACCACCTATTATGGTGGGAATTGTTCTTAAATACATAAGTCTTTGGACTTTACCATCATAAAAACATCTTATATAAATTAACTTAATTATCAATATTAAAGTAGAGTAAATGTGACCCTTCTATCACGTTCTGAAATCTGGACAATGTAAGCCAGGCGTCAGAGTGGAGGAAGGAGGGCAGCCATTGTTGTTATATGAGACCAGAGGCTCACACGGGAGCAAATTCGGCTCCTGTTAAATTTACTTGGACGTAGTGTTATGGAAACTAAAAGTGTACCATTATCAACACGCTGTCTACAAATTCAAGTTAAGTGTCTATCCGAAACCCATTATCTATCATTAGTGGCCATTAATGTCATTGGGTAGGGTTATCCGGTTAGATCACATGGAAGCCTCAAACTAAAGGTAATTAAGCCAGGTCCTCATGTTCCATGTACTGTTTTCTCTGATATACTTGTCATATATAGGATTCTGGCTTTACAGCTAGCGCACTTTTGACAGGTCAAGACGAGGATGCAAGATTATGTGCACCAGTTACTGGGTGATAGAAGCTACCTCAAAGAGGATAATTTGGTGTCTACACCCTAGTTATACCTAGTGGACTAACCTGCTGTACTATAAGATAAGGAACCTCATCAATGTATGTAGCTATTCCTGTAGTTTGATTGGCTGCATATATATATATATAAATATAAACCCCCCCTAATGTGTAGAGGATCGATTTGTGAGATTATGAGATTATTGCAGAAATACAGTCCACTTATCATTATACAAATTGCTATCGAAGTATATAAATTAACGTAAATATAAATTCATATAAATTAAATAAATATAAATCTCACAGGTCGGTTCCCACATTATTTGGTCCTTCGAACCGGATGACGGATTATTTGATCCTTTGAACCCACATTTGGTCATCTTAGTACCGGATGAACCAGTTATCCAGTGGATTCATTAAATATACTAGTGCAGTGTTATTTAAACAAAGGCCAGCCAGTCAAAGACGGAAGCGTAGCCTCGAGGGAGCTCAGGAGCCTCCCTCAGCCGAGTTCAGCCTTAGTCAGCGGTTTCATGCACACCCACAGATATTTGGTGGCGTGTTATTTCGTGAAATGACAGCGCTAATATAGAATCCAGCCAAATTAGTGACTGTGTCTTCGCGAGATTGTTCACGGATTTCGTGGTGTTACATTTCGCGAGAGATTATCCACGAATTTTGTGGACTTTATTTCGCGAGGTCACTAATAACATTTAATACTTCTAGATAATATTAGAAGTTTCATAGAGGCTAATTAAGAGGCTATTATCAATAATTGTGTATATTATTTCTCCAAATAGAGAATTATTTAATATATATTGCACTAGTGATCATAGTATAATATTTACTAATTGCCAACCCACAACAGGGTAGGATATGACTAGTTGAACTATTATTGTTCATCCTAGTCCCATTATTACAATAGTCAGTTGTACTATATTGAACAACCTAACACCATTAATGAATGGTCCAGACCCTATTTTGGGTGTAATTTTATCAACTCGAGTTGAGTTGTATATATAATAATTTACTTATGATCATTACACCTTTGAGTGATTAATTAGTGTCTCTACCATCCTAGGGTGATATAGAAGAGCTAACCTAAAGGTACTTCCAGTGACACTGGTTTATCACTCAAATCATTAGTGTGTATGATTGTATATATATAATGTGTATTAATTTTAAGTGCTAACCTCTAGTAGAGGTAGGATTACAGCCTAGTGAGTGCAGAATTTACCCTAGGCTATCATTAGAGTTTGTTCAGTATTATGAGCAGCCCAAGTACAAGCCCCACAAGGCTTCACCAACTAGCCAGTATGGATATGCAGGGAGAATGAAAAGAACCCTTGCAGGTCTTAAAGGCCACTTAACAAGACAGATCAAGAAATGTGAAGATTTGTCACAACGATCAACAGTTGATTATGCTGACCTGGAAAGCTATTATCAAGCAGCTGCAGGTAAATTTGAGCAAATCAAATGTCAAATAGTAACATATGTGGCTGAACTTGCCAATACCAATTTATCAGAAACAGAAATAGACGACATTATGGTTGATCTTGCGAATTATGAAGATCACACTCAGGCCACGTTACAGCCTTATGTCAAATTAATTGCCCAGAACAAGGCAACAGCAACAACAACAACAGTTGCATCTAATACGAGTCAAGCAGAAGCTCGACTCCCTCCAATTAATTTACCCACTTTCTCAGGAAAAGATGAGGAAGATTGGGATGAATTTTGGAACAAATTCGTTGACCTTGTAGATTCAAAACAATCTTTACCAAAGAGTAGTAAATTCTCTTATTTGCAAGGCCAATTATCAGGTGAGGCTAAAACAGTAGTATCCCATCTGAGATTAACTAATGACGGCTATGATCTGGCAGTAAAACTCCTCAAGGATAATTATGCTGATCCAGAAGTAAGAACATCACATTTAGTTCATGAGCTGTTGCATTTACCCCCACCGGAGGCTTCAGCTGATTCACTCCAAGTCTTCAAGCTGGAGGTAGAATCATTGATCAATGCCCTCAGCCTGACAGCAGATACAAACGGGGCTGAGTGGGTCTTGAAAATAATTGTCCAGGAGAAAATACCTAGGGACATATTGAGACAAATGAGTGCTCATTACAATAAAAGCATCTTATCCATGAATGAAATATCTGAAGGTTTAAAGTCAGTAGTTCATCAATTACGAACACATGACAAATTAAAACCACCAAGTAAACCCTCAGAAACCAATAATAGTAAACCACAGAGTACCAAAGGTACTCCAAATCAATCTAAACAATATAATTCAACACCAAAGTGGAACAGTGGCAGTGTGGGCGTATATGCAGTGGGACCCTCCAAGCCTATAGTTACTGTGTCACCCAAGAACATGACACCAAAGGGTACAGGAAGCTATGGAACATGTTTGTTCTGCAATGAGAAACATTCAATGTACCACTGCTCTAATTTTCCTGATAGTGACGCCCGTGTTGAGCGACTCAAAGATTTGCAACATTGCACGAGGTGCCTCAGGAAACATAACATCAACGACTGTGATACCCAATTACACACCTGTAATAGGTGTAACAAAGGTCAGCACCATGCAGCATTGTGCAGAGACACCAAAACAACGTCTCCAAACCCCAAGGTGGAAGATAGCATTCCCACCACAGTACAGTACTGCAAGGTGCAACAAACAAAGAGTGTCCATGCGGCAAAGTCTAAAGGTAATACGACTTTGCCTACTGCCCAAATTACCATCCTGAATAAGAGGGCCAAGGTCCATACCCGTGGGTTGTTTGACCAAGGATCCCAGAGAACATATATCACTAAAAAGCTGGCAGATGAATTACAATTAAGGCCTGTAGCCCAGATGTCATTCAACATCTCAGGGTTTGTAACAGATGCAGGACCTCAAGTCTACCAGGTGGTACAACCATCAGTACGCTTAGGCAGGTACGTCTGTCGAGTACAAGCCATTGTGGTGGACAAAATACCAGTAGACCTACAAGTTCAAGGTCTGAGAGCAACAGCCAAATTCCTGAGAAATAGAGGAATAAAATTGGCAGATAATATTAAGTCTGATCACCTCACCGACTTCGGT